ATTTTCGGCTGTTCAAATAATTTTAGAGTTGACCAATTTTAGTACTTGATTGAAATTAATACAATGCGAGTGGGATCGACACTCTATACTCACTACTTTATTACTTGTCTACAATTTTGTGCACTTACGAATTTTTTGTGAACACAACTATGGGCTCCTTGTAGTCCCGAGAAGGATGTGTGCTCTTAAAACACCTGTTAGGTATGCCTTTAGTGGATCTGCTAACATGTTGTTTATAGTTGTGCTTTCAATGACAACGAGGCATTTTACATCTTTCTCTTTTAGAAAATAGAACACAATATTAATACACTTGAGCGAAAAATGCTTTAGTGTTCTAAGAGAAATACACTATTGTGGAACCTTCACAACATAATTTCAACCAGTCCAGAAATGAAGTCAACTACTCTTAATGCTAAAACAAGGTGCCACATACTCTGCATCTATGATCGAGGATGCTACAAATGTCTATTTGACACTTTTTCAACAAAGTAGCTCCTCTTTTTATCATCTATGCAGCTTGCATAATCAACATCATAAGATCCAACTAAAACAAGTGTGTTATTTCCTAATATCAATCTATGTGGTACTTCATTCCCAGTCAATTCAGTAATAATAACAACAATCACCCAAGTACTGAATCTGCACGTCAACAATAAATACAACAATAGGATATGTGCATACTTGAGTATACATAAGGCTGCTAAACCCAAAAGCATAAGGGACAATTATGTTTAATCCCTCTTATATGCCATAAGGACATTATACCTTTGAGAGTTCATCACCTTAACAAACATTGCTTACTACGAGAACAAGAATACATATTGAACCTATTCAAAACAAGAACTTAACCTTGTTACGGAGAACCTGCATGCCTAGAACATAAGAGGCTTTTTCAAGATGCTCATACCAAAGTGACTAGGCACCATGCTATTCATCTAAACTAACAGGTCAAAATCATTAGGCGTGAACAAGTTGTCACGAACATAAAAAAACAAAAATACGCAAATGCTCCCACTAACTTTATACATTTGCATCTATCAACAATGTTCCCCATATAGCTAATTTCAGTGAATGTCTCCTCCAAAATTGAAGAGCTACCACCTCAATGTTTTCCAAACACTTCCACTCGTCACAGAGTTTCTCAAAACACTAATGTAGCTAGGAAACATATCGACTCTCAAGACTATGTCAATTTCACCAATAATGAATTCCATATGATAGATACATTTCAATACACAATAATTTGTCCCATTTAGCATCAAGATAGCAGAGACATGAGAATTACTCAAGGCTAAAGAAAACAAAAAGGGCAACCAACAATAAGCATGTAAAACAAGATCATGCAATTTGTCCTTTACTTATCCTTACCAATGATCTTAAACCAGATATGATATTTGCTTGCTAGAGTTCTTTGAGCAAGAATAGAACTCTTTTGCAAGTAAGGACAATTCATTAAATATCACAACTAAATGCATCAATCCACCACCGACAGAGTAGTAAATATTGTACGGTTCATGACATTCAACAAATTTTCTTTTAAGTCTAAGCATCCTACCAAACACTTAATTATCAACAGGACAACTTAATTATCCGTATGGATCATAGCAATATAGTAAATACATAATTTTATCCATAAACTCCAAACTTATTATTTGACCACAATATGAGTTTAGTGATTGTGCAAGTCCATACATAACCGTTTCTAATATTCCCCCACTTTAATTGCATAATCAATAACAATAAATACTCATATAACACAAAATCTTAAATAATAAACGAATAGTTAGAACATGGACAAAGATCACAAGCTTACGCTTCGAATTAGATTCAACTATCCTACCAAGTAATAAAACTATTAGCAGGATGAATCTATTGCCCGTATGGACTTTCACAACATAATCAACAAATTAAGTTTATCCTTACAATCCCACAATTTATTGGTTGATAATGGTATGTGAGTTAGTGATTATGCTAATCCACAAATAAATATTTCTATTTTTCTATTACTAAGATAACATAATCAAAAAACATAACACTTGCATAAAACAAGATATCAAATAATAACGATAACAATAATAAATAATGAATGGATAAACTTATAGCTCAAGCTTTATAATAGCACGTGAGCTTCTAAGAAAACTTTCATTCTCACTTCAACACAAAAGAGACTATGTATGCATCTACAAACAATAATTAGGTATTAAAATATTAAACACAAAATGGGCATTTCAAAATTTGAATAAAAAATGCATAATTATATGTCTAAATTTCATTTATCCGAATATCAAATTAATTGGGAGAATTAATAAAATATGACCATATAATAAGGAACAATAAATTTGCCCCAAAATTTTAGGTCAGAAACTAGTGAGAATTAGAACTACTCAGAAATATATGAAAAATCATTAAAATAAACAACTATTTAAATAAAATATTTTCTATTACCTCGCGTGCATCCATGTAAGGACTGTTGTGTGTCTAAAAGCCTCTCTCAAGAGGAAATGTAAAATTTTATGGGAGAGCTCTATAACAGAACAACCCAGACACTTTGACATGTTTAAACTCACTATAGACGAGTACATAAACATTCACCATTGTCGAATTATCACAATTAAATATGCCATATAAAATCAAATAAAATAATACAAATTTTATGGCATTCGATTACCAACTAAATTATATACAAAATGCCCAAGATATTTAGGCATAAATCTAGTAATTATGCAAACTTTTCGTCTTAAGTGACTCATTTACGTGGTAAATGATTCATTGATCGTACACTTTAGTTTTTTGATAAATGACTAATTTAGCTGGTAAATGACTCATTTACGTGGTAAATGATTTATTTACGTGAGAGAGGGAGAACAGAAAGTGATGCATGAAGAGAGAGATTCCTTTGGGAGTTCTTTTAGGATTTCATTGAAACAAGAGTAAAATGGGTAGTGGGGCATGAAGAGAGAGATTCCTTTGGGAGTTTTTTTAGGATTTCATTGAAACAAGGGTAAAATGGGAAAAACAAGTTAAAATATTTTAAAATCTGTCATTTCTAACTACTCAAAATCGTTATGTTATTTACTACGAAAAAATGTTATATAGTACAATCCTAAAGAGAAAATTATAGATTCTATTTATTTTAATACCTGACTCACTAAAAATATATCCTTTAAAAAACTACCATTTGATTAATTCTAATCTAAAAGTAAAAATATATGATAAAATGTTAAAGAATAGAAATAAAATGGCTCCACTTCAAGGTATATTTGAAAATTGCCCTTTCCGAAAAATTAAAAACAATTAGCATAGGGCCCATAGGTTGAGTCATACTTAGCCCAAGAAGAATTTTAAGTGGTTCAGTCCGGCCTTGGAGGCCTTTCAAAATATTTTTCTTTAATTATTAAAAAAAGCCTAACTCTTTCCAAATAAAAAAAAATGACCCATTCAATGTAAAACAAAAATAATAACGTTCCATTGTATGTTTAGAATTTTAAAATGATAGAAATTGCTATAAACCAACATAAAGATATAAATATAGTAAATTTGAAGCTTTTCTCCTTTTATGTATTATTATGCGCAGTGCTACTTTAAATCCTACTTTTTGTTACAAATTTTAAGCTTTCAAATAGAAATGCTAATCATGCAGTGTTAGGTTGATTCGACCCATAATCAACTAGATCCAAATGTCATTCGTGATATATTAGGCCACAACTGCTGAAACTGTGTCTTGTGCCAACCAAAAAAATTAAATACCATTAGCCAGGGGCGGCCATAGACCGAGTCATACTTAGCAGAATAAGAGTTATCGTTTGCAAGCTCGAATCATAACTTAAATTTTTGTTACAATATTTTCTCTCACAAAAATTTAAATTTAACTTTTTGTATTACATTATTTTTCTCCCCATATAATTTATTTTTCAACTCAAATTCTCAATTTGAATCAGCAAATAAAGGGGTAGTCTCGTCGGTCATTTAAGACCTTATAGAATGTTTAATTATCAAAAGAAAAGGTCGGTCCTTTGAGGCCTTATAGAATGTTTTTGTTTAATTATCAAAAGAAAAGGTCTAACTCTTCTCAAATAAATAATTAAAACAAGACTCATTCAAAGTAAAACAAAAACAGTAACATTTTTTATACGTTGAGAATTTTAAAATGATAGCAATTCTTATAAACCAACAGTTTTTTTTTTCTTTTTTCTTTTTTTTTTGGGGGGTCAAAAACTCATATGTTATGTTATAGTCAATTTTTCATGGTCAAATACTCGTATATTAAGTAATAGTACAAATGATCTAACTCTATTGCGTAACTTAATCAATTATGAATTAGAATATTAGATGTTAGGAGAAAAAAGACAAATATCTCTTTAAATAGTATCATTTGGCTTACAAATATTATCCCATTAATTTTTAATTAAATAACTATATTAGTTAAGAGGTCTAAATTCATACACTATAAGGATGAGTTCAGCAATTTTCTCTAGATATAATATTTATGCGCGTTCGACACCATATGCAACAAATTGATTAAATATTAGTTACCTTGATACTGCTATATATATATATATATTTATATATATATATAACAGTATAAATTGAGTATATTTATTTATCGATGAATATCGTTATTTTTGTCTAAGATATTGATCTTATGATTGTATAGTTGACCAAAAAATTAATTGCAATTAAGAAAATTAGATTATTTTCACGTTATATCATCAAATTATTATATTTAATGCGTCACCATCAATGCAGATGTAAGCATTAAAAATTCATCCATATATATTGATAGGATTTTTTTTTTATTTTTTATTTTTTTGTATATTCAATCACCGTTTGTTATCTTTAGTATTTTTAATTTTTAAGCATGATTCAAGTGGATCATTTATTACTCCATACATGAGTAGCGCGTGTATAATTTAAAAATTAACAAGATAGACTTTCTTAGCTATAAAAGAGGTAAATAATATCATTTTACACTCATATTGTGCCGAAACAATCCGATAAAAATGTACTTAGCATTCTTTTCATCGTTTGCCAAATTTATCATCTTTCTTTGTACCATTGTATTTTCAGCTTCAGCTGATCACACTCATGAGGACTTTCTTCAGTGCTTGGTCTCTCAGATAGCCAACTCTACCTCCACTTCTGAATCCATTATCTACACACCAAATGACCCATCGTATTTCTACGTACTGAACTCATCTATACGGAATCATCGTTTTGTTTCTCTTTCAACCCCAAAACCATTTGCCATCGTCACACCTTTTACTGTCTCCCATATTCAGGCCACTGTTTACTGCTCCAAGAAACATGCTATTGAAATCAGAACACGAAGTGGTGGCCATGATAATGAGGGCCTTTCTTATGTGTCCCATGTCTCGTTTGTCGTAATTGACTTGATAAATCTTCGTTTTGTTAGTGTAGACGTGGAGAGCAAATCCGCATGGGTTCAAGCTGGAGCTATGATTGGTGAACTTTACTCTAGGATTGCTGAGAAAAGTAGAAATCTCGGCTTCCCAGCAGGAGACTGCCACACTGTAGGTGTTGGTGGACAAATAGGTGGAGGAGGGTACGGCTATTTGACGAGAAAATATGGCCTGGCAGCTGATAACATTCTTGACGCAGAATTAATTGATGCACAAGGAAGAATTCTTGATAGGGAATCCATGGGAGAAGATATGTTTTGGGCCATACGTGGTGGTGGACCAGCAAGCTTTGGAATTGTTACTGCATGGAAACTTCGACTAGTTTCTGTGCCATCGATAGTGACTCTGTTTAATGTTAGGCGGAACATGGAAGATAACGCAACAAAAAAGTTTGTTCATCAATGGCAACGTCGTGCAGACAAAGTTGATGAGGATCTAACAATATTTATCACCTTCCAAACTACGAGTTCTATTGATAAAAAAGGGAATAAGAAAATTTTGCTAGAAGCTTCCGTCCGCGCCACGTACCACGGTGGTATCAATAGGCTCCTTCAGTTAATGGAGAAAGAGTTTCCTGAGTTGGGTTTGATAAGACGAGATTGTATCCAAATGAGATGGGTTGAATCCTTTCTCTATTTCAATGGATTCATAAATGGAGAATCATTGGATGTTCTACTTGATAGGACACCTAATTTTGATTTATTGTCTTATAAAACGAAATCAGACTATGTGAAAAAGGCAATTCCAGATGACGTGCTGGAAGGAATGCTAGGAAGGTTGTACGAAGAAGAGCTAGGAAGATCTACGATCACTCTATATCCTTATGGAGGGAAAATGAATGAGATTTCAGAATCCACAATCCCATTCCCACACCGAACCGGAAACCTCTACAAATTCCTTTACTTTGTGCAATGGCAAGAAGAAGGGAATATTACAGCGTCTAGAAAGCATATGAGTTGGATTAGAAGGCTTTACAATTACATGACTCCTTATGTATCGAAAAATCCAAGGACTGTGTATCTCAACTTTAGGGACCTTGATATTGGGATGAATGACAACAAGGGTGACACCATAAGTAGCTGTGTCAATATTACAAAATCAACTATTTGGGGTACTAAGTACTTCAAGAATAATTTTAATAGGCTGATTCATGTAAAGACTATAGTTGATCCTACTAATTTCTTTCGGAACGAACAAAGTATCCCACCTCTTGTCATGCATTAAACATGTTGTACCCACCTCTTGTTATGCATTAAATATGTTGTTATGGACCCATGATGTTAAATTAAAACTTTTCAGTAGCTTTCTTATTAGATTCCTTTTAAATAAAGGTCTTTTTAGCAACCATCATATATATATATGTTAAAAATTTATGAAATACGCAATATATATTGATTGAGAAGAGGGTAGACATGCGCATTATCATCATTTTCATGTGAAGTATTCAGACGAATTGACTAATATTAAACCATATCCCCTAGCCTTTACGTTTCCTTTTCAATTTAAGGTCGTGTTATTATCATTTTGCCCTTAAAGCGTGCGATTCCAATTCATTTCATTTTTTTTTGTTTTTTGGAGTTATGATAAGTTAGTTCTTATTATAATGTTAATGAGTGCTAGCAACAGATGGTCGACCAAACACACCATGAATCGTAGAAGTTAGTGTAGACTATTTGCCAGCGAGAATATGCAGGTGGTGTGTGATAAAGTCAATGATGACTCACTTGCCAAAAATAATGAAGATTCTAGCACTAATGGATATGAAAAAGGAGCAACAAGATTACTACTCCAAACGGATAAAAAATCCCATGATATGTGCAAAGCCGTTGAAAATAAATATGGCAATTTGTTATGCCATTTCAAAAAGATTACCTATTAAATAAAAATCATTTTCTATGAGTTATTTAGCATATTACCGTTGCCCTTTATTGTATAAATAGACATGTCCATACATCTTGCTGGACAATGAAAAAGAGTGAATAAATTCATTTTTCTATTCACTGCTTTTTCTCATTCCTTCTCTATATTCCCTTTACAATAAAAATCTTTATGGTATCAGAGCCAATGGCGACCCTTACTTCTGAGATCAATTCCCATGCTGAACCCAAAGTCACAATACAAATCTTCCATCAATGTGCTAGTCTTATTTCTGTAAAATTAAGTTCCTCTAACTTTCTTGTTTGGAAATCACAGGTCTTGCCCTTGATTAAAAGTCTTGGGATAGCCCACCATCTTACAAATGATGCACCAGCCAAAGAAATCATCAGAGACGATGGAAAGAAAGTTTCAAATTCAGAATACATACAATGGCTCCACAATGATGGATTACTTGTTTCATGGCTCTTGGGCATCATGACCGAAGACATACTGTGAAGACTCGCGCCCTGGCGGCGCGGTCGCCATTCCCTTAAACTACTACTAATAGACTAAGTTATAGTCTAATCTATTACTTGTTATTAGACTATCGTCTCTTTAATTTATATTTTTATACGAGTAAATTTTTTTTTCTTTAACCCTCGGGTTCTTAACATGTTCGTAGCATGTTCTTTTGTTATACAACAATTTCTTCTTGCTAATACTTTAAGAAATCGGATATGGAACAAGTCCCCGAAACTTATCTTAACTCATTACAGTCTATTGTTCTTTACTAAGACAATGACCGTAACATCTTTTTTCTTAAAACTAAAACATATAAACTTGGTTCTATATTACATTACTCTGTAGCGGAATTTAATTTCTAAGCGAGTGTAGTAGAGACCACTCCCGTGTACCCATGACATTTCCACCATCCTTGCCTCCGCCGGTCCATCAAGCAAAACCACTATATGGCTGGCTGCTTACCTTTGTTACCTGCACACGAGTAAACTGATGAGCTAACGCTCAGCAAGTATAAACATGTACACATCATAAACTAGCAAAATTTACATTAAGAGTTATGATGCAAATATGCTCGTGTGAAACATGCTTTAAACTGCTTTATGTCTTTCTGTTCTTACTACTGTGGGCCTGGGCCCCTGCCTACTGTTCTTGTTACTGTGGGCCTGGGCCCTTGCTTACTGTCTTGTTACTGTGGGCCTGGGCCCCTGCTTACTGACTGGTCTAGTCAGAATCTCTACTCTTTGAGATTTCTTCCATTGGGAGGCCGACGACCCGTCAGTCTCTTTACATTACTGAACTTTGAGTTTTCATTTCAAAGTGTTAAAAACTTTACTAAATGATATGCAACGTTTTCTCTACATGCATCTACTAACATGAAAATACAATATACTTTATGCATACCTTAAACTGAGCATTAGGGGAACCATAGGTCGCCCTTCTACAATCTAGGGCACTAAGCCCTCCAAACACTTAAAATCACATCAACTTAGGAATTCAGGCAAATTCATAATTCTAAGTCTAACTACAGTTTACTCGAGTACAGACAAACATATATGTCTACACTTACTAATAATCCGCTAGGATTCCCGCTTGCTGGAAGTTCTTTCTTGTTGTCTCGGCTCTCGTGCCAAAACCTGTTTCATGGAAATAGGTATAAATTTCCTATTCTAAATCACAATTCTTCATACTTAGATTCTTAAATCTAATTTCAAACTCATTTCTGAACCTCTTTCCCCTCTAGGCCGAATCCTAGTTCAAGAGGCAGATTACACATATTTGTGTATCTCGGTTTCTGAATCTTAATCTGCTCATTTCTGAGCTTTAAAACTGTTATTCATTCTCTAGAATCAAATTACTAACTCATTGCTTACTAACTAATTTTTAGAAAATTTCGGCGGTGTTTCGCCTTATTTTTCTCGTTTCCCGAGTTTTCAATAACTCGTTCTACTTCCGATTTCGGTACCTGGAGTCAAGATTCACATTCCTGAACACAGATTCCAACATGAAATTGAACAAAAACACATGTTCTTTCTTAATCTAGGCTCACGGATTTTCAATGAAAATCCACCAAAACTTCGTTCAATCGTTTTAATACTTACATCATTGAACTCCTATTACAATGCTCTACAAAACCTCGGTTTCGATTTTTACTTTAACGGAAGTTTTCCGAGATGGGTTACTATTCATCCAAATGAAGAAATCATAGAATTCTCATGAAAAATCCGAAATCTTACCTCCAGAAGTTGAGGTTTTTCACTAAAACGCCTCAGGTTACGTTTCTACCGGACTGAACGGAAGAAATTTCAGTGAAAATGCTTGATTTCCCTGATTTCTCTTTCTCCGTCTCTCCCTAACAACTTTTCTTCTTTTTTTTCATAACTCTCTCACGTTTTTTCTTCTCTGCTATATGCTTCACGTTGGCATTAGCTACAAAGTGTTATTTATGTGTCATGAAGTATATACTTAAACGTCAAGTGAGTCTCCAAGTATTGTCTCACGTAATACTTCACGTGGTATGCTAGCTACAAAGTAATGCCAAGTGTTTTCCTGCATGCAATGCTTATGTCCACCTCATGGTAATTATTCTCTTTCTTTTTTTTACAAACTTATCTCCACCTCACGGTAATAACATGAGTCACCAATTTACATATAATCTTGCGTGTATATGTGTATATATATATATATATATATATATATTCTTTGAGATAGATTAATTTCTTAAGAAACGTATAATCATATATATATATATATATATATATATACATATACTATAACTTTGTTCAACCTGCTTTTACTTTTTGCCATATCAAGATACGTGCTAGCAAATGAGTGGGTTCTATACTACTCAAATTTTTCTTGTCGAGACCTAACTTTCCGTTTCTCAAAATGAGTCTCTTTCCGGTACTAATAATTTCACAACTAATACAGGTTCTATACTGCTTTTCTGAACTTTCGAGTACCCTGGGTCAAACTTCTCATGTTCAACCCAATTCTCTTGGGTATCTCATTAGTCAATTTTTTTTCCTGAAATTTTCATTTTAATTGATTCAGAATTGCCCAAAACGCGTACCCTCGCGGTATTCATTTTTTTAGCAGTTTCCCGCTTTAACTGACTCATGAAAATTATGTTTCAGGAACTTTTACTATTTTCCTTTTTTTTAATATTTCTACTCTTTTTCTAACTGGTTATTTGGTCACAAACCAAATATTTTAGTGTTTCATAACTAAAATATACCCGCTAAAATTTTTAACTTTTAACTGATATTTCACTATTCATAACTGATATTTACAAATTTTCTTTGTAAGAATATTCGTATTATAAATTTACACTTTTCGGGTAATTTTACCCCGTACATAAAGTTTCTGCATAACATTTTCTTGATTACATCAAAATTCTACTACTTATTATTCCAGAAAGGATTTTAGTCAAATATCGGACTGTCCGGATTAGACATAAATTTTTTCCGGTCATTACACATACTCCGCATGATCATGGGGAGTAAAACATCAAAGCAAATATGGAGCAGTTTGGAAGAGCACTTACTTCCCGATACCATAGAACACGAAGAGAATTTGAAGGATTCCTTGGTTTGCTTGAAGAAAGGATCCTTATCCATTTCAGAATATATTAGAAAATTCAAAGTTATATGTGACAACCTTGCTGCCATCAACAAGCCCATTCCGGAGACTGAAAATGTAACGACCGGAAAAATTTTAGGTATAATCCAAACAGTCCGGTATTTGATCGAAATTCTCTCTAAAACAGAAAGTAGTAGAATTTTCAACTTGATCAAGGAAAAGTTATGTAGAAACTTTATGTACGGGGTAAAATTTCCCGAAAAGTGTAAAGTTATAATACGAATATTTTTACAGAGAAAATTCGTAAATATCAGTTAGAAATTTTAGCGGGTATATTTTAGTTATGAAAAACTGAAATATTTGGTAAGTGACCAAATGACCAATTAGAAAAAGAGTAGAAATATTATAAGTAAGGAAAACAATAAAATTTCCTAAAATAAGATTTTCTCGAGTCAGTTAAAGCGGGAAACTGCTCAAAAACCAGTACCACGAGGGTACGCATTTTGGGCAATTCTGAATCAATTAAAATGAAAATTTCAGAAAAAGAAATTGACTAATGAGATACCCAAGAGAATTGGGTTGAACATGAAAAGTTTGACCCAGGGTACTCGATAGTCCAGAAAAGCACTATAGAACCTGTACCTGGTGTAAAATTATCGGTCCGGAAAGAGACTCGTTTTGAAAAACGGAAAGTTAGGTCTCGACAAGAAAACTATGGGGAACGTAGAACCACTAAAGTTAAGTGTTAAACTTAATTAGAATTAGTAAAATTAAATTATGGGAATTAAAGTAATTTCTTTAATTTAATTTT